GTGGGGGCCGGAGGGGGGGTGGACAGTAGGTCCCCCCCTCATTATCACTATGGCCCCCACCCGCCGCGCAGGGGTGGGGGCCGGAGGGGGGTGGACAGTAGGTCCCCCCCCTCATTATCAATATGGCCCCCACCCGCAGGGGTTGGGGCCGGGGGGGCAGTAGGTCCCCCCCCTTATTATCAATATGGCCCCCACCCGCCGCGCAGGGGTGGGGCGCGGGGGGGCAGTAGGTCAAAGTCAAAGTTGAACTATATCAGTAACCACATAGTAACACAGGAAGTACCACTTGAGGTTGCATTATAATAACCTATAGGTCAATACAACCCCATATATGTGTAAAGATATAAGGGGAGTTATTCAGCCTGTGTGAGATTTCTTCATCCATTTTGGTTTTATGTTGCCTTTCTTTCACTATAGCAGGGGGGGGTGGAAAGGGTTTTGTTCTTCCAGTGTTGGGCTATGGTACAATTGGCAGCCAAGAGGATCTGTATTATGATATACCTTTCCACCCTTGTCAATGAGGACGGTATAAAGTGCAGTAAATATGTGTCTGCTTGTTGTGGCACCTCTACCCTAGTCACTGCCTTGATGAGTGTAAAGATGTGATTCCAAAATGAGCTTAGCTCAATGCCTTCTCAGAATGTATGGGTCATAGTGCATTTTTGTGTTCTGTACCTCCAACACATAAGAGAGGTTTCTCTGGATATATAGGCTAGTTTACTCTGAGTGAGGTACCATGTCATCCACATTTTATATGCTGTCTCTAAATAGTCAATGCCGTGTGTTGTTTTTTTGGTGTGTGTGATTGCCTTATGCCATTGATCCATGGTATATTGTATCTGAGTTCAACCTCCCATTTGGTCATGTATGAAAACTTTGCGAAAGTTGTGTGATCTTTTGATGTTGTTCTTTATAACATACAGATAATGATTTCACTTTACTCCCCTTATCCCAACAGAGGCAACCAAAGTTGTTCATCTCCTCTGTTTGGATGGGGATTATGTTAACTTGTGCGTTATATGTTTCACTCTTAAATAATGGAAAAGGTCCATACTCGGGAGATTATACTTATTTTGTAGAGTTGGCAATGTGTGCTGTGCCCTACCATCAAACAGGTGTGTGATCTTTGTTATTCCTGCTACCTTCCAATGCTGGAGTGGGAGATCTGATATGTACTTTGTTTTTCTGGCTTGTACATAGAATCATTTGATATTCAGTGAAAAGATCCTCAAGAAAAAACCCCACAAATAAAACAGATAATAGTGCAATATGTCACTTTAAGTGCATATCCTATATAAATATTTAAAAGGACTAACTCACACTTGTCTGAGCTATTTAGAGCTCTGCTTTTTTTTGCTTGGATGGTACAATCCCCATCTCAGGATGCATGAAGATCCTCCAGATGGTGTACGGTAGTGGAAACTTTGATGGTGTAGTATGTCAATCTCAAAAGTAAAAAGGTAAAACACAGTATCCTACTTACAATTTATATAGCAAAAACTTGCTCTTGTGTTGTACAGCTTTGGTGGTATAATCACCACCTGGGATGTGCAGGAACCAGGAAAAGAGTCAGCAGCACAAAATAATAAAATAGAACTTAAAATATAGTTAACAAATTACTTTGTTAAGTTAAAAATATATAGTAAAATCCATATGGCACACAATATTGTCAATACAAAACAATAGGGGGTAGTAATATTTATATAGGATACGCACTTAAAGTGACATATTGCATTATTATCTGTTTTGTTTGTGTTTTTTTCTTGAGGATCTTTTCACTGAATATCAAATGATTCTATGTACAAGCCAGAAAAACAAAGTATGTATATATATATATATATATATATATATATATATATATACACACATCTGTATACCACACTATAAAGGTATTCTATATCACATCTCTAAATTTCACCATTAGGGGTGGTTTATCACCAATTGTTGTAACATATATTATATCTTTACACAAGGTTTTTGGGAATCCTTGTCGATTTGCCGCTGCCAACCATTGTATGCTATAGTGAGCACCTACACGATCTTTTCTTTACATCTATTGCCCTATGTATGCCAGGGGGGGGAGCCACATTTGCAGAGGACCGATGACATATTACCCCAATGGAGGTGGTCAAAAGTATTCTCTGCATCAGGGGCCAAGAGGATACCTGGTTTATGTTCTTTGAATAGTGTCTGTATGAGATCTAAAAACCATCTGGCATCCTGGGACAAACCCTGCCTGTACAGGTGAGACAAGCTTTGAGAGTTGAGGTTTTATGTGGTTCGCAAGAACCATTGCATAGAGTAATGGTAATTATATTTGCCTCCAGCATTTCCACATGGATATAACTTGAATCTAAAATGGTGTTAAACGGGGCAGTCAGGTGGGAGGCTAATACATCCGCAAAGGTGGTATAATAAGCATTAGGGAATCTGTTGGGACCTGCTGATTTTCATTTTGGAAGTGATTTTATTACTTGGATGACTTCTTCTCTCGTGTGCTATAGTTCACATGTGCCAAGTGTTACCAACAGTCCTGAGAAGTGCCAGTTTAGCATACATTCATTACCCAACAGGGATTGTGGCTGTGAGACCATCTCAAATTGACTCAAACTGTTGGAGATTGGGGCTTGCATTTTGGGCCTCGTCAATGTATTCCATTCCAGTCTCAGCTTGCTGGGTGAACCTTCTGGTTTGGATTTCGTTGTTTCCTGGAGGAGCTTCCATTTTTGCATAAGCGAGACCCCATCTCAATTGTGGTGATTTTGTCAACGATCTCATTATTTTGGCACAAATAGCTCGTCAGTGTGGTTTTCAAGTGCTTCTGTTCTGGTGTCCAGATCAGGGAGCTCCTTGCGCATGTCGTCTTTAAGCTCTTTCAGGTCTTCTTTAAATGAGGCTCTCAGCTGTGTTAGCAGATCTGCGATCCTGTGTTCTGTCACCAGGATGTCTTCCCACAACATTCCAGGGGCTATATATATATATATATATATATATATATATATGCACTGTATGTATCTATACTGTATGTATCTATATACTGTATGTATCTATATACTGTATGTATCTATACTTTTTGATGTCCTGATGTGGAGCTGAAACAGTGACATGTTTTAGCAGTAATATGAAAGAAAGTTAAGTTTTATTTATGACTTTTGTGAAGTCCCCGGTGTGCAGTCTACCCTTTGCTTACAGTTAATTTTGCTGGACCTGCACCGGGCATCATATTTTTATTCCTGGAGTGCAAGCCACTTTCGGATTTACATATATATATATATATATATATATATATATATATATATATACTGGAAAGTCCAAGATCATACCATGGGACAGTATAAGTCCCGCGTATGGATGTATTGGTGGTCTCGGTTGGAAGGCATCCTCAGTAGAAGTAGAAATATCCTTTTTCAGTGCACCACAGTGTAGTAGTCAGAGGTTATCGGTATTTGAAATTGCGAATAAGAACTGAATATAGTGCTTTCTCTATTATTAAATAGCTAAACAGATAAAAAAAGGAGGTATGTTCACAAGGGTAGAGAAATGTCAGGTATTGCTCAATCCTAATAGGCCTACATTGTATCTAACCCACCAAGGAAATCACTGAGCAAATCCTCTGATTCATATTTTCCTTTGTCTTTTGATCAGTCTCCTAAGATTATTGATATTAGAGTTGCAGGAGTGGTTATGAAGTGTGCATCACTCAGAGCTTTCAATGCTCCTCTTGCAAGGGAAGTTCAAGCTGCCACATATTTCTGAAATAAGCACCACAAATATATAAATATTTGATGTGAAATTAAAGCACTATTGTTTTCTGAACAAAATTATATTTGATGAGTTAGTGTGGGTGTACTTAATATAAATATTGGTTGAACAAACATATAGCTCAAATTCTAGACACATTTTGTCCAGAACTTGTACAGTTGCTTTCGTCTTTAAAGGAACACTGTAGGGTCAGGAACACAAACATGTATTCCTGACCATATAATGTTAAAAACCACCATCTAGCCCCTCCTAAATATAGTAAAATCTTACCTTTATTGCAGTATGCTCCTGCTGACTCTGCCCCTGATCTGCCTTCTTGGCTGACATCATCAGCAGTGATGTTCTGAGGTAATCACAATGCTTTCACATAGGAAGGAATGGGATTGGCTAAGCTTTTCAATGAACCAGATCAGGAGCAGAACCAGCACAAGCCAAACACTGCCCTGGCAAATCAGCATCTCCTCATAGAAATGCATTGAATTAATGCATCTCTATGAGGAAAGTTCACTGTCTCCATGCAAAGGGTGTGCAGCACTAGCCCAGGAAGCACCTCTCGTAGCCATCTGAGAAGTGGCCATTGAGGTATCTCGGGGCTGAAAAAACAGTGTTTACTGCAAAAAGCCTGCAGGGACTGATTATACTTACCAGAACAAATACAATAAGCTGTAGTTGTTCTGATAACTATTTTGTCCCTTTAAGAATTTTACTTGGGCTATTCATGGAACAGTTGGTGTCTCTTTAATAATGCATTTAAGTCCTTGAAGAAAACAAATTTTACTGCCTTACTTTGAGAGAGACAAAATAATTAAAGGTTCTGTCTTGTCAGGTCTACCCTGGTATGCCCCTGTACTCTTTTAAAATAAGCTGTGATGTCCATACAATACCAATGTCCATACAATGACAGAGAAAATAAATAAACATTCTAATGAAAGGGTAGAGAAACAGTTGTGACACAAAACATTGTGAGATTGGTTCATTTAGGTATACGAAGGGTTGTATATGCAAGTAATTGTATATGCAAATCAGTAATCTCCACAGAGGAAATTTACCAAACTTGACAAGTGGAAGCACTTGCCACACTGTGAGTATACAGCAATGTATTAAGTAAAAGAAAAAAAAGAAGGCAAGGCAATAACTATGAACAAAGGTATATAATTAGTGATGTCCCGAACTGTTTGCCGAACGGTTCGCCACGGACTCATCATTGAGTAAACTTTGACCCTGTACCTCACAGTCAGCAGACACATTCCAGCCAATCAGCAGCAGACCCTCCCTCCCAGACCCTCCCACCTCCTGGACAGCTCACTAAGAATGCAGCTTCAAAATGGATGCTGTCCAGGAGGTGGGAGGGTCTGGGAGGGAGGGTCTGCTGCTGATTGGCTGGAATATGTCTGCTGACTGTGAGGTACAGGGTCAAAGTTTACTCAATGATGAGTCCGCGGCGAACCATTCGGCGAACAGTTCGGGTCATCACTATATATAATGACTCTGGTGACAAAAGAAATGCTTTTCAAAGTGCATAGCTCTATAAATTTTAAATATATAGTGAGTATCTAAAAAAAACCTTTACATTTTTTAGTTATTGTTAGAAGCAGATTAAACAGTGCAAAATGTACCAATAAGCTCTAAGCATCTACACGGGGAGAAGAATACATAGATGACAAAAGTAGAAAGAACATCACAGAGAACAGAGGTGGGCCAGTTAGAACATCAACTCCCCATGAGCAAGAGTACAGGAACAATCTTCAACCATAAATCAGACACTGGAACAATCAAACAATGAGAAAAAGGAAGTTAGAAAGATAAAAAGGCAAAAAATAACGAATGGGGAAAAAACCCCAATACAAGACAATTTCAATCAGGGGATGTTATGAATCAAGGACAAATGTCATAAGCCACATAGGGGAGTAAGAGTAGGCCCACAGGACCATTCTCGGGAGTGTTTTGGAGCATGTTAGTTTGTTTCCAGCTTCTGGAACTCGTGGGTTGGGTAAAATTCCTCACTGTAGTATCTTATCTGCTCCTTTTTTGGTATGCTAGCCATGTAGGAAGTCCAATTTCTTGAGACAATTGACTTAACTGGATAGCCCCATTTATAGGCATTATTGTTGACACATAGGGTCACCCTGCGGAGCTGTAAGGTAACGGCTAAGACATCAGCAAAAATATGTAAATATGCTAACTGTGGAGAAAGAGATTGTGTAGTGGCAAAGGTATGCATGGTGTTTGCCTTCACTGTGTAGAAAAGCAGATAGGAGATTGTGTTTCTTGGTGCACATGAGGGTTCCTTATTCATAATACATGCAATCCTCTGGAATCTCACAAATACGAAGGGTATTGCACCTATCTTCTAGGTCTGTGAGCTTCAGTTTCAATTGACACACTTCTATGCATATCTGAAAGAGTGTTGTGGTGCACAATGATTTGATAGGTCCTTCTTAAGATTAGAAGTGAGAGAGTGAATTCCAAAGTGTTTCACCTAAAGAACATCTGTTTTCATGGTGTCAGGATGGACCTGTGACCCAACACGCAGAATTAAGTAAAACACGTAACAAATACAAACAGTAACAACGTATTACCGGGCCTTAGAATGGCCGGAATTAATGTAATAGAATAAACAGTAATGAGCCGAGGTCAGGAATACAGAAAGGAACAAATACGGAAAGAACAAAGCCAAAGGGTTAGGGATACCAGAAATACGGGATGTCAAGTCAAGCCAAGCCAAGTTCAATAACCAATAAACTGTATCAAGAACACACTCTAGGATAACCAACAGGATGGAAACCACGACAGGGCACTGAACAACTGCAGGTGTGGGTTTAAATAACCTGGTAAATCCTGCTATTGGCTAATTTGGGTCCCATGACCCAGAACGTACGTGAACGACGAAAACGTGATGCCGCATGCACGTTCATGTCACTAGTGGCATCATTGTGGGTGGCGTTATTATTTAGCGCCATCTTGCAGCAGCCTGTGGCCCTCCCAACGCTGAACCCGGCCGCCGATTCACAAGCTGCATGGAGGGAGAGGCTCTGGCAGTGAGGTGAGTAACCTCTTCCTCCTTTGGTGTGACTGCGCTACACTGTGGTGCTGATCGGGCACTGTGCTAGTGTGAGGTCACACTGATCAGGCACCTTGACACATCAATGTTCAAACTCTACCCCCAAGCTTTTCTTTTTTTTTACAAGCTTTTTTTTATGTCATAGAAACAGAATAATGAAAAGGAGAAATGTGATTGTACAGTGTACATGTTCCATTAGCATTCTTGATACATTCAGGTAGCTGCTGACTTACAGTAGACCTTATTCAGGTAAATTACTACATTTCATTCAAACAGATTACAACATAACATATAGGCATTATGTGTGGCAGTTAAAGTCGGCTAGTGTCCCAATAGTATTGGAAAAGCTTCCTTGCATTTAAAGGTATCAATATCTTGATGCTACAGCATTATAATGGTAATTTTAGGTATGGCTAAGCAGTGGAGAGAGTAGACATGACAATCGGGCAGGTCATTATTATCAACCAGAAATCTCTACCCCTTCCATGTCACTAAATGTCTGTCAGCTTTCATTGGTCCATTCTTCCTGTCTCCTATTAGTAGAGAGATGGTGAGTATTGGTTCCAAGGTATGTAGTAATCAGGGGGAGAAGGAGGCGAGGGGAAAAGAAGAAATGCGGAGAGGGAGGGAAGTTGAGGATGAAAAAAGACAAAGGAGAAGGAAAGGAAAAAAAAGGTAGGAAAAGGGAAGGGGGGGAGGGGAGAGGAGGCCGCATCTAATGGCTGGAGTAGTGTGCAGGTAACTCTTTTCTTTGGCAAATATACACACACTGACAAGTACATACCTTGAGACACATACATACACTTTCAGACACACGCACACAATGTGACACAAATACACACACACAGTGACACAAACACACACATACTGTGACATAAACACATAAATGTCAGTTTTTATATTTGCAGCCACCCTCCTGTTGACATACCTTTAATTTCCAGGAGGGTGGCTTGGTTGCTGCTGTTGGCTGAGGGGAGAGAATGTAGTAGTCTGCTGCAGCTCCTGTTTCTCTCCCCTCACGCTGCCTGTGTGTGCCACCTACTTTACCTTCATCTCCCCCTCTCCCCGCCTGGGGCACTCTCTATATAGCTGAGAGAAAGTGATCATCACTTCCTCCCAGCCGGCAGGTATGAAATGGGCATGGTCGCAGTCTTCTAGGGTCACAGCACCTGACTGGGCACCTGTGATAAAACAACCATTGGGTGGCCCCAAGTTCCTGGCATGTGGGCCACAGTGCAGCTGCACCGGCTGCATTGGGGGTAGTTTTGCCACTGATCTGCAGATCTGTTAAGTGTCCCTCCAAAGCCCTACACCATCTGTTTCACATTGCATCTGGCAATAGAGTCTATTCATAGGGTCCATAATTGGGTGCATAACCCCAAGATTTTAATCCTCTTAACACTAAACAACCTATGTAATCTAATTATGACATTAACCCCAGTTGGTGCACTGGGCACAATCCTTTGGTGCCAAAATGTGTTTTTTGACTGTGATACAATAAAGTTGTTGGCCTGCCTCTTCCCCTGTTGAATGTGGAGTAGTGAAGCATTAAAATTGTGTGTGGTTTTGTGCCTCTATTATTTTGTGCACTTGCCCAGTTATCCTACCCGTAACAGCAGAACCTCTGAAAACTTAACCCCCCCTTTTACCCTAACCACTTCTAATATTATCTTTAGCCTTGCATGCATTTACACAGCATACACTCACTATAATATACTCACGACACAACACATCGTATTACAAGCAAAAATATACACATATATACATATGCATAAAATTCATATTATTTTTTTAATACATTTTAATGCATGCTGTTTTTAGTTACTTTATTTATTAAATTCATTATTTCACCTTTTTGGGGGTAGGCGACACCTTCAAATTCTGACATATGTATCTGGCCCTGCATGCAGCTCTTCAAAATATCACCCCCTTCCATAAACACCTATCTAGCAAACCAAAAAAAAAAAAAAAGAAGAAATGTACGCACCATGTGAAAAAAAATAAAATTTGATAACATTACCAGCTTTATGACAGAGTACTCAATATAGTGGTGGCAGGCTGAGGGGGTCTATCGGGTGGCCAATGCACTTAGGGCATCCCAATTGCAATGTATTCAGGGCCCCGGTCAGTGGCCTTTTAACAGCGTGACTGGGCTCTTTAATAATTGCAGCACTGGGAGGAAGTGACAGCTGGTTACTCCCTCCCAACTAACATATGGGAGGAAGCAGAGAAGAAGGGGCATGGAGTGGGAGATCCTCTGACTCACAATAGCCTCAACCAGCCAACTGTACCCCAGGAAAGCCACCCTCCTGCACCCACAAGGTAGGAAACAGGAGGATGGCTAAAATTTGAATTTTATATGTGTATGTCTGTGTATCTATCTGTGTGTATGAATGTGTGTCTGTGTGTATGTGTGTCTGTGTGTACCCCTGTGTATCAGTGTGTTTGTATTAGTATGTGTATCAGTACTTGCATCTCAATGTGTGTCATTCAGTGCTTGTGTGTCATTTTGTGTGTCTGTATATCTGAATGTGTTTCATTCTGTGTATCTGTGTCATTCTATGTATTCTCACATGGGTATCTGTGTGTATGTGCAGGTTCGTCTATAATATTAATTAATTGGACCTTGGGCAAAGTATTTTCTTGGGTCCCTTGGACCCTGCCCCGCCCCCCCCCCCACTACCTTGCATGCAATCATGCCTTTAACCCCAACACAGTGGGGGAACTAAAGTAGAGGGGTGCAAGACACATACACACACAGACATACTTACTGACACATATACTAACAATTACACACTGACATACTGACACACACAGACATACACTAGCATGCACATATATACTGTCAGACATATTGACACACATTCAGACACACACAGAAGAAACACATACAAACTGATACACATATGAACACACACAAACTGACAAACATACTGACACACACACACAGACATACACTGAGAGACATACTGACACACATTCATATTCACAATTTTAAACACACCTCCAGTTTACTACCTTGGAGGGTGGCTTCCCTAGCATCGAGTGGTGGCTGAGGCTGTAGGGAGTTAGGAGCTGGTTCTCGCAGCTCAGTCCCCCTCCTCTCTGCCTCCTTGGTCTCTCCTGTGTGGTGCTGTGTTTTTTGTGTTTTTGGGGCTGTCACTTACTCCCATGCAGCCAAAAAGCTATAGGTCGTCCGGTGGGCATCCTTAGTGTGTGGGCTCATGATGGATATAAATAAATAGTCGAGGCTAGAGGAGCCCATGGCACAGCTACATTGGGACCCCAGGAGTAACTGGGCCGGTGGCAACTGCCCCATTTGCACTGTTAATGT